GAGGCCCCTTCAATACAGAAACAACACACTTCTCTAATCTGGGACTCACAGAGTACTGACCAGCAAAGGTCAACTCACTTCTAACGCCCAGGTGAGCACACACTGTTAGGCCACCGGCCATAAAAGAAACCAGCAAATCAAGCCATCAAAAGCTAGTTTCAAAGTGGGCATCACCCTGAAGTGAAACCACTCATGCATGGTGTATACTTGCCTGTCCTTCCCAGACACATAAGGCTCCTTTCCAAAGCAATCTCCTCTTAGGCTGCTGACAACAATCAATGGTTTCTACTAGGAAAATTTCATCTGTGCACTAAACATAATTTTTTAAAAGTTTGAAATGCATGCCTTAAAACCTGGTTGGCTGCACTCTGCCCAAAATTTGGCTTATGAGCCTCAGCATCTGCTTTGATACCCTGCTGAGTAGAGAAAAGAAGGGGGAGCTAGAAAGACCTGGAAGGGACAGGAGCTTCACAAGGAGAGCAACAGAACCAAGAAATCTGGGCCCAGGGGTCTTTTCTGGGACTGATACTCCAACAAAGGACTATTCATGGAGATAACCTAGAACCCCTGCACAGATGTAGCCCATGGCAGCTCAGTATCTAAGTGAGTTCCCTAGTAAGGGGAACAGGGGCTGTCTCTGACTGAACTCTGTGGCTGGCTCTTTGATCACTTCCCCCTGAGTGAGGAGCAGCCTTACCAGGCCACAGAGGAAGACAATGCAGCCAATCCTGATGAGACCTGATAAGCTAGGGTCAAATGGAAGGGGAGGTCCCAGTGGGCTGGGGCAGGGGCATGGGAGGAGATGAGAGAGGGAGGGTGGGATTGAAAGGGGATGAGGGAGGGGGCTACAGCCGGGATACAAAGTGAATAAACTATAATTAATATAAAAAATTTTAAAAAGAAAGAAAAAATAAAATAAAGTCTGATTGGCAGACTCACTCCTCCATAGGAGTAAAACTCACATTTAGGCTTATAGGCAGAGTGGGCCAGACTGTGATGGGCAGTCTTATGGCCCTGGGAACTGAACCTAGGACATAAACCTAATAAGTACCTGCTAGTCAGTCCCTGTACCACTAAGCTACACCTCTAGCCCAAATGATCTTCAACATACCCAACATTCCCAACTGACAGACACGGTCACACTCAGAACTCAACAGTGAATCCTTCACATCCATGACAGTAACGTCTTTATGAGTCTGTCATCAGCAGGACCACCGAACCTCTTTGAGTTTCAAGTTCCTACCTAACCCAGGTGCGCACTAGAAAGGACCCAGCAAGCTAAGATTTGAGATAAACCAGATAGAACAGAAGGTGTACAGACACCTCACGAGCTTACTGCATACAAATGCTCATTACTGCCCTGGGCCTTCTAAGATCTTCAAGTCTCACCCTGAACTTGAATATACAAGTTACCAGATTAATCCAAAATATAATTTTGTTCATAAGTACCCTTGGCTCAAAATTTCTGAGAGGGGCTGGAGAGATGCCCCAGTGGTTAAGAGCACTGGCTGCTTCCAGAGGATCCATTCCTAGCACCCACAGGGTGGCTCATGACTCTTTCTCAATTTCTGGTCTCTGTGGGTACTAGGTATGTATACAGTACACAAGCATACATGCAGACAAGGCATGTAAATAAAACAATAAAATTATAGAGAGGTAAGATGACAGAGGACAGAATTTTGTGAGGCAGGCCTCCATCGATACTGGATGAAAGGTTCACGCTCCAGCCTATAAGGCAAGACTCTCTTCAATCGCCAACTTTATCTTGTAAAAATTCTCACTGAGTGGGACCACTTAGGCCAGGTAACCAGGTCAAAACAGGTACCGTGGTCTTCCCAAGGCTTGTCCAAGCTTAGTCCATGTGATCTCAGGCTTTCTTCTGATCTGAGATGACTTGTATTCACCACTCCCATCTCTGCTCGACTCTTCTGCAAAGCGAGATCTGGGGCCTCTTGTGTCCTGGAACTCTGCAGTTCCCCTGCTTCGCCTGGGTTTAGATGCTCAGGTACATTCTAGAAAACACATCACTTCTTACCACTGATTTTTTTTTTTTAACAGAATTTTGGACTTTGCATAATGGCATTGCAGAACAGAACAGCAAACCACAGAATAGCTGCAAATATTTGCCAAGCTATTATGTGTCCAGTTGTTAAAAAGCCTGAGGGCAGGAGAGGCTTTCCTCCTAGACATTCAATTTCCACGGGGATGGCTCATCTCCCAGGGGGATGGCAGAAACTACAGTGTGCCACCTCCAGCAGGCAAAGAAATGCACAAGCATCCCAAACAAGAAAAGCACAACCAGAGTGCAAACCCACAGAGGATCCCCCTCAGGTAACCGGGCTGCCAGGACACTACAGTTCTTCTGGTCTTTTCTTTCTTTTCTAAACATAATTTTAACTCACAAGTGCCAAATCCAGTTTTTTTTTTTTTGTTTTTTTTTTTGGTTATTTTGTTTGGTTTTTGTTTTGTTTTTCAAAAAAGAAGAGGCAGTTATAATTACACTTTAATGGCTTTTAAACTAGGTTTTATTTCAGCCTCAAGTTCTGGGTACTCCATTCAGTTACAAACCCCAGATCATACTTAGGTTAAACAGCTTTTAAATAAATACTGTTTCTAAGACAGTAGTGCTTGCACAAATGTAGAACATTTACTGGTGCAAGACTGAGGCGTACCCACCTAGAAATGCAGTACTCCTGGATGCTTTAAATCACACAGAATTACAGCCTGATTGTACCTGTCACAATGTCCCCCAGGCCTCAGCCAACCAGGAAAATACCACAATTCATATGAAGTTGCCCGGAAGTCCAGAAAGAAATCGTGGGCTATGGATGCTCTGCTCAGTTAGTAGAGTATTTGCCTAGCATGCACCAAGACCTGGGTCTTGTCGTTCCTACCAGGTGTGATGTCACATAGCTGTAATTCCAGCAGTCCAGAGACAGGAGCAGGAAAACTGTGGATCCCAGGCCTGCCTGGCATACCTAAGGCCTTGTCTCCAAAAAGCAAACAAATAAAAACTCAAAATCTACATCTATATCCAATGCATCACTCTAGGTGATCACGTGAGGGAATTAACGAGTGGCTTCTAGTCGGTGTTTAAAAACCATTTAGCTACTGGAGTTTTATCAGAACACTTATATGTTTTGCTGAAGTATAATTATTCAAGTATTTAAACTATATATATAAAATCTTTAGTATTTGAAAGTTCTGCTATATCCTGAGCACTTTCAAGGAAAGGTGGTAAAATAATGTGGACAAATAATAAAATTATAATAAGCAGTAACAGAGACATAAAGTCTTTCAAATCCTGGTTGCAAGATCCCATTTAACTTGGTAATAAATGTCTTAGGCAAATAAATATGCTCTTTCATAAACTCTGGCAAGGAATAGTGTCAGACTCCTATGTTTTCTGGTAAACACAAAGTCACAACTTTCTGTATAGAAAAAAAAAATGCCTCACAACTTCCTAAACTCGCTGCCAAATAAATTACCAACATCTGTACTTTCTATACACACTACTTATGCAATGGTTCATAATTTTATTGACAGGGAAAAAAATCAAAAGTAACCTCCAAATCTGGCTTTTCATATGAGGGGCATTTTCTCATTTGTTCACTAGAAATTGCCACAGAGGGGAACTGTGTCGTACGGTTTTCTGAGGCCACTCATGCAAAGGGGCTCACTGCCTACATCTTCCTCCCACAGCATGTAAAGGAGACACAGTTTGAATCAAAACTTCTGCTGGTTCAGGTTGGCTGGCAGGACTTCACAGTGCTGAGACTGGGAAACGGTCCTCAGCTTGGTGCCTGAGATAAGTCGGTCGTCCCTGTGGCAGCATGTCAAAATGTCATACATAGTGATTTATTATTTCTCTAGAGTAGCAAAAAGCTGCTGACCTAGGAGAGTTTGACAAAGGCCTTGTTTACAAGGGAAGGTTTCTAAGGGAGAGAACAAACTGGAAAGGCTGGAGGACAGCACCACTTTCATAATTTATGAAACTTCTCTGTTTACGGTCCTTCTCCAAAATACAATGAGCCATTAAAATGAACTGTCAAAATATTACAGTATTAGAGTATCAAAGCTGCCCTCTACAAGAGAAAGATGCTCTTTTACCCCCACCTGCAGAACTGTTTAAAGAAACAAGAGCTTTTAATAGTTACCTGCAAAGGCATTACTTTTCAGGTATACTGTGTCAGGAATATTAAAAAAAAAAAAAAAAAAAAAAAAAAGCACTAACCATACAAGAAGCACAGTTTTACTGCAGTCAATTCTAAGCCTCAGGTGTTGGCCAGTGCACTTTTCAAGAAACTTGATGAGAAATGAAACACACACACACTTTACAAAAGAACAAAAGGAAAGATCTAAGGCTGCTTTGAACAGGCTCTGTGGTGAGTGTTTTCTGTGAGACACCACAGTGCAGCCAGGGCCAATGCTGGGCTGTGAATGAGACAAGTCTTGAGAGACAGGCAGCAGGAGATGCCCCCTCCTCCCCTCTCTGTCAAAGGTTCTCACACCCCAAATCCTAACGCACTTAGAAGCATTTTCTGCCAATATGGCCTCACTTTTCAAAGGCCCAAACAAAAACTAGATGGACCCCTCTACTCTGAGCGTTATTTTTCCCCTCAACCAACTTTAATGATTGTCTTACAGACCTAACAGGTGTCTAAAATTTACCTTTTTCAAAGGTAAACATCAGAGGTGAAAGAGAGCATTTTGGAGTCCCCCCTCCCTTTTTTTTTTTACATTAAGGTTTTTTTCTTTAATTTTTTTTTCTTAGTGTGTACTGACAGTACAAAATAACGGGTTTCATTGTGGCAATTTCATACAAGTTTACAGTGTACTTTAACCCAATTACCCTCTTGTCCTTGGTCCCAAGTCCCCCCACCCTCTATTTTGGGTTCCCTTCCTCCAAAGGCAGTATTTTAAAAGCAAGTCAGCAAGCTTGGAGGAATAAAACGGCAATTAGATTCTGAAAAGAAAGAGCGTGTCCTATTTGCATAATAATGACACCTAAGCATCAACCCAGCCACGCCTCATACCCAGTGTGTATAGAAGTAGCCCTTGAGCCTGTCAAGTCCCGAACGGATAGCAGCTTCAGGTAAGGCCTCCCAAACTGGAGGAAAATATTGCTGAATACACTGAATTGGGCATTTGTGCACACGTAACATTGAACGTGCCTTTTCTATTAGAAGAGTTCTCACTGCTCTCTGAGTCCTGGGAGGTTGGACAGGAATTTTGTGCTAACCAACGCCAGGCAACTCTCAAACCATCTTTGGTGCTCCCACAAGCAAGGCATACAAATCAGGTAAAAAGAAGTTTGAAAATTAACTGAACCCTTAAACATTACCACACAGCACAGCGCAATAAACAAACGCGTGTCCTTAACGCCCTCCTTACGCTCCATTATTATACATACAAAGGAATACGTGCCAATGTGATGACTAGAAAGGACACAATGATGACACCTCTACAAAACACTGCTTTAACTCCAGTCACTCTGCTTCTTCAAAAGCAACAACCTCCACCGCACTGGGGTGGATGGGGGGGGGGGGGAGAAGGGACACAGCCTGGCAAAACTCCCCCAAAAGTTATATAAACAAAGGAGGGAGAAGCCCAGTGTGGGCTTCGCACCCATGTGCTACTAAAATTACATAACACCCGGTGCAGACACCGAATGAGGAATGATTCTGCACTCCACCCCCCCTCCCCGCTCTCCCTCCCACGCCTTCCTCCTTCGCTTTAAACACCCCACTGCCCCGCGCGCGAGAGAGTGGACCGCTGGCGATATTTTATTTTCCTAATGAAGTAAATCCTGCGCGAGAAGAGTTGGAGGCACGTTTAGGCCCGAAGTTTGAACGTGCAACAGCCGCAGGACGCAGCGACTCACTCTCTCCGGACCCGGAGCAGAGAGAACTGACAACGCCAGCCACCCCCGAGGCCTCCTTCTCCCCCGCGCGGTGCCTCCCGCTGGAAAGTTTTCCCTGCAATCGATTGCCTGCCTGACTTTGCACAGAAGGCGAGCCAGAGATGGGCGGGGGGGGGGGGGGGGGGGGGGGGGGGGAAAGGCCCGAGAGCGGGGGGGGGGGGGGGGGGGGGGGGGGGGGGGGTGTCGGCAGAGAAAGACCTAGAAAGCTCGGCGGGAGGGCGGCGGCGGGGGAAGAGGAGGGACAGGCGGGCTCCTTACCTGGGCGAGCAGGAGAGACCGGGGCTCGGGCCGGCGGCCCCCGGGGCGGCGAGGGAGCGTCTGTGCACGCCACCGCTTAGGCCGGCGCCCGCGGCCCGGCCCCCGCCGCCTCCTCTTCCTCCCTCGCGCGCGTCATGTCACGGCGATCAAACATGTCTGTGCGCTTCGCCGCGGTGACTTCCTGATTCTCCGCCGCTCGCGCGCGCCACGCACTCGCCCTCGCCCTCGCCGCCGCCGCCGCACGCACCGCCACCGCCACCGCCTCCCGCCCTCTCGCCGCCAGACCCCGGCGGGTCTGCGTCCCGCTCCCGGGAGGACTCGAGCGGGAGGCGCAGGCAGCCCGCGCAGCTCGCCACGCACTGGTCCCTAGCGCACTGCACGCTCGCGCCTGCCCGCCGCCCCCTACTGCCCCTCCATCCGACTTGCGGCCCTGCCAAACTTTTTTTTTTTTTTCCGGGTTGATTGGTGTCCAACTTCCCTCCGCCCCCATCCCCCCAGGCAGCCCTACCAGCCCCGCGCTCACCGCCATCCGCAGCGAATAAGCAGACCCGGATAATAATAATAATAACAATAATGTAATCCAGGCGGCGGGGAGTGAACGCAGACACCCACAAACCGGGCGATCTCCAGCGGGTACCGGAAACCGGCGCGAGCGCCCTGGCCGGAGCGCGGGTGTCCCCTCGACCCCGCCCGGCGCGATGTCACTGCGTCCAGGCTGCGCGGCCTGGTGCGGGGCACAGAGGGAAACTGTGCTGGTGTGCGCTTGGTGGCTGGAGGGCGCCCGGGGGCTGGCGCGCTGGACCGGTGATTTGGGGAAGTACATCGCGACACCTTTGCAGTTGGCGTGGCCCTGTTTTGCAACGCCAACCGGAGGGAAGGCCGCCCGGCGGAGGGGCGGGGGTGGACAAGGGAAGGGGTGAAGTGGGTTGGGATGGGAATAAAGCAAACTCGAGAGCAGGGAGCCAGAAGGAAGGGGTGAGTGTCATCGCGGGGAGGAGGCTCCCACCGGCTCTCCCCGCCTCCCTCCTTCGCCACCCCCCACTCCCTCCCCACTGCAGCCCTTCCCCTTCCCGGGTGAACGCCACGGCCGCTGCCCGGGTACGCGCGGGTCCTGTTGTGACAGTCAGGCAGAGAGGATTATCCGGATCATGGCCTCCCCAGCCCGCAGCCGCGGTAGCTCTCCCGGGTCCCTGTGCGCCCCTGACACCCAGACCATCCCAGGCGCCCTACGGCCGCAGCTTCCTCGGCGCAATCCAAGGAAAGACTCCAAGCAAAAGAAAACAAACCCCGAGAGGGGGAGGGCAGGCTAACGGTGCCCAGTGGACACCTCGGACCTCTTTCCTTGGTGCTTTTTTCCACCCTCGGAATGGGACCCGGGTTGGACACCCTGAACTTCTACTTCCCAGCCTGAGCTGCCTCCAGGTACCAGACAAGGAGGTCCGCGACGCCATGGCCACAGTCCCCAGGGCAACCTCTTGGTCTAAAGGCCTGTCACCACTCAACATTCCCTCCCCTGCCCTTAGGGAACCTGGGGAATGGAGCTGACAACTCCGAGACCGCAGGCACTGAGACCGCAGGCACTGACCCCGCAGTACTGGCCGCCGCCTGCTCGGTGCGCCAGCCCGGACTACTTACTCCAGCCGCCAAGATCTGCTCGGGTCCCCGCAGCCGGAGCCCTTTAAACAAGTCCCCGGGAGGCGAGGAGCAGCCGCGTTGGTTGGCGCCCGGCCGCCAGCCCGGGCTCCTCGCCCTCCATTCCTGTTCCCCTCCCCTCCTTTTTTTTTTGGGGGGGGGGGGGCTGGGGATGAACTGTCGCGTTTCCAGTCTTCCCCCTCTCCAAGCCCGGGGTCCTGCAACCCCTCTCCTTCTGCCACCAGCTCTGCTTTTTAAGGGGATGGGGGGGAATGCAACCTGGCCGAGAGCGTGTTGCAACCCTGAGTTGGCAGCGCCTCGCCGTCAGCCTGCCCGGGGTCAAGGCTGTGGCATGTTGGGATTTCTTCCCCTTGCCCCCTTGAAGTAGTAATTATTACTGTTATTATTGGAACCGCGGGGTTAGGTTGAAACTTTCTGGCTTCTTCTACAGCCACCCGGGAGCTGTCGTTAGAGCATTCCACCTGAGGCCCGAGGGGAAGAGGCGGGCTTTTTTGTTGTTGTTGTAGCGGTTGGCCCGCCTGTTTGTTTTGGTCTTCTAGCATGCACAATAAATAATGATTAGGATAAGGATGCATAATCCGGGGCGAAGGCGGCGCGGTGCCGGAGGGGTTCGGCGGCGGCGGCGGCGGCGGCGGGGAGGCCGAGCCGAGAAGAGAAGAGAAAGGAGTTGTAAGTTATATTTACCTTGCTCGCGAGCAGTGTGCTGGCTGAATCTTCTCTCTCTGAGTCACCCAGAGTACAGAAACAGAGGGAGCGAGGACTAGATTATGAATATGACTTCATTGATGACAGCCGTCCCCTCCTCTTCCTAAACTCGGGCTCCGCCCCGCGTCCCACCCTCGCCGCCTCCACGGGCGCCGGAAGACGCACCGCAGTTGGCCCCGCGCGCCGCTCCTCCCTGCCCGGCCTGGCGCGGGTTGGCGGGACGCTCCTGTCACTCGCCCTGCTCAGCGACTCCGGGCGCGCGGGGGGGTGGGGGGGTAGGGGGCGGTGTGCAAGAATGTGGCTCGAGACAGCTCTACTGTATGCGTGGATCCGTGTGTGTCTGCGAGGCGCCGGCTCTGCGCCGTGTTTGTGCCTGGAGCAGAGAAACTGCGCAGAACAAGCAGCCAGCCCGCAGCCCTGCTGGACCCGGGCGCCGCAGGTCCCTCGGCTGGCAGCAGGCTTCCGAGCCGCTCCGGGAAGGCTGGGGGAAAACCCCGAAGTGAAGGGGAGGGCAGCCGTAGTAATAGAGCGTAGTAGTTCGGGGGAATGTGGACACCGTGCTGGAATTTAAGTGTGCCTGCGCCTGCCAGCTCGAGCCTGCAGAGAGAAAGGGAGGGGACGGGGACGGCGGGGGCAGGGCTCCGGGTGGCACCCAAGCTGCTTGTGGCACAGTGTTGGCCGAGGGGGAAAAATGGACATTATCATACCAGCTGAAACTTTTTCGAGCCTTCCCCCTACATACACACACACAAGGCTGTCATAAATCTGCGTTCTTCCCACCCATCCCCAACCCCCAGTGAAAAGGAGGCGGCACAAAGAACAAGCCTGCCAAATCTGTCTCATCCGTGAAGGACTGCAAGCTTCCAAATGCCAGCGACGAGAAACAGCTGAGAGGCCGGGACGCCTAGTAAATAAATACATCCAAATAAACCCGCCTAACCCCTCTGTTTACTTCTGAAAGGCACGAAGCACCCTCCCCTCCCCTCACCTGTCATCTTCGAGTAAAATATACATAAAAATATGGGAGGGGGAAACAACCTCGAGGGGGTGGGGCCCGAGAGTCAGGGGCAGCTGAACCACGGGATCTGCTTTTGATTTAAAAGGGAAATAAATCTCATTCTCTGCAGACCAGAGTCTCCTCTCTCTTCCACCCCACATTTAAGACCAATTAAGGCTACAAACTGCAATTTGCCTGCACGTAGTGGTTTTGAGAGCTAGTGTTTCAGTTTTCCTTGAAATACAGTGCGTCTGCAGGACCCTAGGTCACTATTTGGTGAGGCACTTTTATTTTTAGTTTTATGAAGTGTGAAAGAATGTTAGGAGATTTTAAATCAGGGGCCTATTATAGTAGACTCAGATTAATGTAGGTGCTTGACTCTTAAAATTAAAACTGCTCCTATGTGGTCGTATTATGAAAAGTATGATTTATTCCTTATTTTGCAATGTAATGGCTTAAATTAGTCACTCAAAGCGTACTGTGACTATTTGGTTGAGGATCCCTCCCACCCTAGGTTAAAATCCTATTTTAAGACAGTTTGTACTTTTACATAATTGACTGTGTGAGCAACAGGGTCTGAAGTGCCACTCTAAGGATTCCCAAGCTTCTGTACTGGGTATGTTGATGAGAAGGAACAATGGGAACAAATGTCAGATTCCTGTGTGCTCATTAAAGAAGTGTTTCCATCACGGGGCCAGGTCTGGTAGGAAGCCCTACAAAGGCTCCGCTCTCATGGCGCAGGGAGAGTGATCACACACCCTATAGTTTTATAGTTTTCCAAGCTGCTGTCACTTGCTTGTTAAATTTGGCTTCCACGTTTGCTGTGTATCCCAAAGTGAACTTATAAACAAAACAAACAACAAAAGACACTAAGGGACTAGAATACAGTGGGTCCCAAAGGTTGTGAGAAATTGTTTCTCTGCCTGAGAATAGGCCAGTATAACAATAACTGGGAGTATATTCTGAGAAACACCAAACCCAATTAATAGTGTAGTAAATGTATAATCTAAATACTGACTTCTAACTGCCTAATAGGTTTGAGCTTTACAGAAATATAGCCAGGAACCTAATTGTGTATAATAAAAGGCTTTAACCTAATGACAATGCTTATCTTTATTCATTAACAAGGATTAGGTTTTAAACTTTAAGGGCCCAATTTGTTTCCTTCACATGTCAACTTCACAGCCCAGGTTTAACAATTTGATGCTGACACACTGTGTGTGTGTGTGTGTGTGTGTGTGTGTGTGTGCGCGCACACACACGCGTCTTTCTCTCTCTTTATTTCTCCCTGTCCATTTTCCATTTGCCTCTGTTATGTGTGTCTGTCTTTCTCTGTGTGTACATTTCTCCCTCTCTACCTTTCTCTCTCTCTGTGTCTGTCTGTGTGTGTGTCTGTGTGTGGGTATTTCTCCCTGTCCATTTACCTCTGTATATGTGTCTGTGTCTATTTCTCTCTTCCTCCCTCCCCTTTTTTCTTCTCTCGCTCTTGCATCTCCCTCACCCTCTCGCTGGTCCACAGTGCCCTGCCATTCATTGGGTCTTTCCCCAGTCTCCTGACTATTGGGACTACAGGTATGCCACACCATGACCAGCATGGGTTTACCTTTATTCTCTCGTGAATAAAATTTCTCCTCCACTTGCCATGATAAGTCTTAGAAAGACCAGCCATCCTATTTATGACACTAAGGCCAGGAGCCATTCTTTTTGATATTTTGTCAGAGAGAAGGTAGGGAGAAAACCTCTTTGTTATAGATGCGTGTTCTCCAGCTTACATAAAATTTTGATGCAGTACTTGGAGGGGTTGCTACCCAGACATTACATGCACGAGTATGGGAAAGAAAGAACACAGTCTGTGGTTTGGAGTACAGATTAAATATAGATATTTGGCTCCCTTTCTCCTCATATTGACCTAAGAATGCCTCACCTTCTCCCTTCGGGTCTTTCTTCTGAAGAATTGTCTTGTTTGTAGCTTGCAGTGCAGCAAGTAAGAATTTTACCAAAGAATTCTTAAACTCATGACAAATGAAAAGGCTGCAGCATTTGTTCCATATGAAAAAATGAGTGTACAGTAGGTAGCGTGATCTTCATCTCTGAGGTAAAGCAAAGTGTAACAATTGATGATGCCAAGGAAGAAAATAAGAAGTTCTTTTGTTTTGTGGAAAATCAGAGGAAAGCAACCATGGTTAGAGGCTAAAAGGGCTCGGGGAGGCTGCACAGGATGCTGCATTCCCAGGAAGCTTTTCTTTTGGGGACTTTGATGAGTCATAATGTGTTCTCTGAAGTTGCTTTTCTCTTTCTAGCTTGGTATCAAGGGGTGGAAGTTGCTTTTTCATGTCTGCTTGCCCACATTTACTTGTTATGTAAGTCTGCTTTGGCAGATGAGAGTGTCTCTATAAAGTAGGTACTGGGTTTAAAAACTGGTATCACCCTTAGGAAGAGGAACTGCGTGCACTAAATTTGGAAGCTTCTCGTCCCGACAGAGTATTAGTTTGGATTGACACATTACATACTTCAGGCCAGAGCAGGTAAGGCCATTTAGAGAATGAGTATTTTATCTGTAGTAATAGAAACAGAACTTTGACAAACTGAATCAGCTGACATTTAATTTAGTGAAGAATTTAGAATTAGCAAGAAAACTGATTACAGAAATAAACACTCGTCTCTCTCTTTCTTCTCCCTTAATAAACAATCTCAAAAAAATCTTGTCTCTCCATAATCATTTCTCTAAAATGCCACCCTAATTTTCTCTGTGAAAATATAACTCTCTATTTCAAAATCCATATCTATCCCCAATTCATCTTAGGATAAACTTCAAACTTCTTAGCATAGCATTCAAGGCCCTGAAGGGACAGGATGTCTACCTGCCTTGTTGACTTTCCCCAAATGTTGTCATGTGGGAGAGCTGGTCTACCTGCAGGTTCCTATTGAGTTTTATTGGTCATATTTCTCTCTCTGGCATGCAGGTCTTAACTCCAGATCCTCTAAGACTCCCCTGTGACCCAACATCTTTCTAGTGGTCCTTGTGCCATTGCAGACAGAAAAGATGCAGGTCTTACTCTGCTCCCATAGCAACCAATGAGCACCTCCATTAGAGCACTTATCACTTTGATGCAATTATTTGTTTGGTATTCCTCCACTAGTGCCTTGAGGGTATAAAAGAAGTTCAGTTCATCATGGAAACCGCAGCAATTAGCTCAATGCTTAACATGGCGTATTAAAAACAAAACAAAACAAACCCCACCACTTTGTTTAATGAAATGATGAAAAATAAATAATAAATGTATCCAACACTGAGAATTCCGCAGGTCTTCACCACTAGTGATTATCGCATTGATGAACAAAATTATACAGTGTTCACAAGCTTTATGATATTTTTTTAAGCAGAAAAGACTTGAAAATGTTTGGGTTTTTAAATTTTGTTTTGTTTGGAAGCTTGAAAGATGAGAAGAAGCTGCACTTTTGTGTAAAAAGTATTGGCAAGAAGTTTTGTTTCTGTTTGAACCAGACTGGAAGGAACAGCAGCACAGACATGGCAGCTATGTGCACTAATAGTCCTGACAGAACCTTTTCTTTATTTCTCCTTTAAATCACAGGCGAGAAGTTGGGCCAAGATCTTCACATTACACCCTTTCATCCCTATAACCAGATGAGATGTGTAGCACTAGCCCCATTTTCCAGTCCATATGATGAGAGAGGGTAAGTGATGTGCTTAAACTGTGCTCTCTGAAGTCAAGAACGCAAAGCAATTCATTGCAATATAAGAAGAATACTAGAACCTCTGTTTTTGCTCCATGATCTCGAAATATTTCGATTGCTACAAACTCCTCTCAAAAAAAGGGTATTATACTTATTATATTCACTGAACATAGAATTTTTCAGGGCCTTTGAAGTAAACTAGTTTTATGCCACGCATAACACCTGAAGAGCACAGAGAAAAGGATTGCCATAGGCAGGAGGGATGCTGGCATCCTTCGCTTCCCTCATTGGCACTGGCATCTGTTTAGGCACTCACTGTCAGCGTCTCAGGTTTTCAGGTTCTACCTTAAACGGGTTCACAAATGATATACTGTTTCTAATTTTAACCAATCAGCCCTCTTATTTATGAAGCAACCAGCTTAAAAAGATTCTGAAAAGAAATCAAAGATTGCGATGGCAATAAGGCAAGCACAGGTGAAAATCAGGCTCCAGATTGCTACTTTAGCCCCTAAGAATTCATTGGCAGCCACACTGAGAAGTAAAACAATGTAGGTCTAATTAGATTTTATAAGAAACATGTCAGAAATATTCACAATTACCCAAGACTGCTTGAGGTATAGATTGATATTAACTATCGCTCATGATGAATTCTTACTTAAGCATTCAGTTTATGTTGAGGTATTCATGGTTGATACTATGATGTAATCATAATTAGCAAGATAATTAAAGTTTTTATCTCATCTTCATCTTCTTCCTTTATCATTTCTGCTTTGTGTTTCACAATATAACCAATACATTATTAATACTGAACTCAAATTTACTAATGAAATACACAAGTCATACTTCCTCTTACTTCCTTTTTAGGTTCAAGAGAAATATGATCAAGCAAGTTGGAGATGACTAAATGATGAAGTCAGCATTTTTAACTCGCCTTATATGTTTTCTCATGTAAAAAAATGTGCAATTATTTGTCATCAGTAAAAGGTTCTTGATCCATGCTAGAACACTGGTAGAATATAAATCATCTGAGCATTTAAAGTTCCAAGCTATGTGATCATATTAACATGGATTTTAATTTTAATAATATTTTATTAATGCTCTGAGATTTTTTACAATGTATTTTCATAATGTTTAATCCCTGTACCAACCCTTCTCATGTTCACCCTCTCCATCCTCATCTGCCTACTTTGAGATTTGACCCTTGCTCTTTTTGCTTTCCCGTGGCATCCATTTTGTGCTGCCCAGTGTCTCTTGGTAGTGAGGCCTGTCCTAGAGTGTGTTTAACTTATCAAAGATCACATCATTCAGAAGCTTGATGCTCTCATAGCAGCTATTAAAATGCCAGGAGCCCCTCAACTGGTTGTGAGATTTGGTGCCCACCTTCCCTCACCCCATCAATACTGGGATCTGTCTGGCTTGAGCTTACAAGGGTCTTAACGTAAGCAGCTATAATAGTTGTAAGTCCAACAATCTTGAGGTGGCTGGAAATTGCTGTTTCCTAGAACCATCTATGATTTTTCACATTTTTTTGCCCCTTCCTGGACCACACAGATTCTGGAGCCTGGGGTGGGGGTAGATGTGATAGAGACTTTACATTTATGCTGAGCACTCCGCAGTCTGAGTGTTGCCCAGTTGAGGTCTCTGTGTTAGTTGCTTCTACTCTAAGGAGTTTCTCTGATCAGGGTTGAGAGATTAACTGATCAATGGGTATAGCAATAAGCCTATCTTGTCCATTTAGCAGAATGTTGGTATTAGACTCTCCCCTAGGACCCATGACTTATCTAATACAGGTTCTTGGTCCCATAAAAAGTGTCAGGTATAGGTTCTCCTAATGGAGGAGCCGTATTCCAATCAGAAATTGGTTGGTTATTCCCATGAGTACTATGGTTGCACCAACAGTGGGCATAGTTTGTCAATCCAGTCATTATTATACCTTATGGAGTTCACTGCTAAGTGAAATCCATGACTACATTCTACTCTGGAAATGTGTTTTGCACCTTCCAGCACTGTGAAAGCTGGCTACTATAGTTGAAACTTCCAGGTTAGTGGGAGCTTGAACTTTCCACATCGTGTGATTCGGGTATGTAGTATCTTCAGCAACAGCTTCTTATTGTCAAGTTCTGCAGGGTAGCCAAGAGTATTGGAGTAGCCTGTAATGCTTGTGGGTCTATGCCATTGACCAGCAACTCAAAAAGAAGTAAATCATTACAAGTTTTATAATGATTTTATTTGCTAGCATATGGTGTCTTGCTGGGGTATTTGCCCACTGTAGGCTGACTCTATTAAAGCTCACATATATAAATCATATATTTATTAATATATTTTCTTCAATGAGTCCATAGGCTGTGTTATATTCTCAAGGAGATCTTCCTTCAAGAAAGTGGTAAGAATGACTAAGCAGCATAAGCAGCCTAAATGGCCCATAATAATTTTTTGATCAGAAATAAATCCTCCCTCTGACTTTTATAAAACTGTTAACATTTTATGTATCCAATTAAAAAAACAAGCCAGCACTATGTAAACACAGAAATAGTTATTAAAATTACCTTAGATGACTGAGATACCTTAGATAAAGAATGAGTTAAGCAATCTGAGTTTTGTGTGTGTGTGTGGGGGGGTGTTTGTCTGTTCATAGATAGGACTAAAATATTGCCTTGTCCAATATGGCTCCAGGGACAGACTTGACTGGGGCAGCAAAGGAATGAAGGAAAGATAATCAGACACATGCAGAAAAGCTGGGGTTGGATGGATTGGGGTCTCTGATGGAGAACCCATGGCACTGCAGCGGCTCAGTGTGTTCCTTATGTGCAACTGAACAGAGAGACAGAGCTACTGAGTCTAACTGAACAAAGCGGTGGCATTACAGACAGATAAACAGGGAGCCAGTGTTTCTGGTCTACAGCTGGATCAAAAAGGCAGGTTTATCTACTCTCCTAGGAGCAGCCCCTGTGGGGAAGCAGCCTTCAGACAGTAAACATCCATGGGGAAGAAGATATGCTGGCTTTTTTTTTTTTTCTGCACACACTATCCACATTATCAACAGGGGGATCTGGGACCATCAGAAGACTCTGCCATCTCTCTGAGCCGCACCCTAAGAAGAAAGCTTTGCCATTATCCCACCGATTTGAGGTTGGCGTGGCCGTACCCATTGACAGCAACACACGTTCACTAAGGATTTCACTAAGGCTTTCTCCCCTCCACACACACACACACACACACACACACACACACACACACACACACAC